AGAGAGAGAGAGAGAGAGAGAGAGAGAGAGAGAGAGAGAGAGAGAGAGAGAGAGAGAGAGAGAGAGAAGTAATCTTACCTTGGTGGGAAGTGAGACGAATAAAGTCGGAACATGTCAGAGGAGGGCGATGAGTGCGAGGAGAAGATGGGTTCTGCTGGACGTGGTGAGAAGGATTCGAGGAGTACTGAGGAATCGTTTATCGCTTCCTCTGGAGGTTCTGGGATGGGGCGTCTGGCCGGTGTGATGGGGGGCGGTGGAAGGAAATATAAAGAACGAGAGGAGAGGTTTGATGCCACTCAATATGCGTTTTTCGGGCAGGAGGCGAGCCAGGATGTCGAGATCGGGGGTCTTGATGATGAACCAGATAATGGGGCAATCCAGTACAATCACTCATCAGAGTTGTACGGCAGAGGATCGCGTAGTACAGGAATAAGCGGCGTGGACGAGATTATCGGGGAAGCAAGGGTCCATCGTCCGGCATCTACTCATCATCAGCAGTCACCTTACAGGTCAAGAATTGGGGAGCGCGCTGGAGAGGACGACGAGAGGGAAGAGGAAGAGGATATGAGGGGGTTAGAGGAGGCGATGAGCAAGCTGGGTTCTGTATTCGGTCGGGGCAAAGGGTTGGCCATCGCGGGGTTAGGAAGAGGAGTTGGAGGTATTGGACAGCATCAGCAGCAGATAATGATGCAATCGTCGAGCGACGGTGGTGTATCTGCAATCGCTGCAAGAGGGGAATCTTCATTCGTCGGTGATTCTCCTTCAGCAGACCTGGGCATTTCGCGCCCACATAATGAGAATCCATTCACTTCCCGGTGGGACTACTCTCCCCGTCCTTCTCCGCCGATGGAGGAACAACGCCATGGCTCTTCCGGTCGGGACTCCTCTGTGCCTGCAGGAGCTATAATTTTGGGTAGTATTCTGGGAGACCGAGCAGAGGCACGCAGGCATCCACAACATCAGCAGCAGCAACAACAAGTAAAAACGCCTCTTCCAAAGCAGCAACAGCAGCAGCTGCTGCAACCGGGGCACTTCCCACAACACCCGCTCGTTCAGCATTTAATGGCCGCCGCAGAACTGGATGACGTTCAGCAACAACAGCACCAGCGAATGCTACAGAAACAGAAAAGTATGGATCATCAGAAGTTGAACTTTGAAGCTGTGCTGCAGAATGCGAGACGTTTCGAGCACCAGCAGCAACAAAAGTTTCGCCGCTTGCGTTTTCCCGATGGAAGCGTGGATGATGAAAACCATCATGGCGTCCCACTTCAGCAACACATGGCACGTCATTTGCCGCCATCCACTTCCCTCGTGCACCCACAGCTCGTCGATCGTGCCGTGATCCTCGCGTCGTCGGGAGGCGAGCCATCATCGTTTGACTCGGGCGGTGGCGGCGGCTTGCATCTTGTGGGCGTGTCGCCAATCGGAGTGATGATGGCGGAAAGGGGGGTAGGAGGGCGTTTGGGATCCCCAAAGCCTTTGAGTGGCATGATGCTAGGCGGCGGCGCAGGGGGCGGCGGCGTGATGGGCGAGAATTATGCCAGGCAGGCAAGTTTCAGCGCGCAGTCGCCGTCGCCGTCCTCGCCACCCGTTGCTAGAGCCTTCAATATCCAGAAGCCGTACGGCCCGCTGGGAGGAGGAGGAGCAAGCATAGCTTCCCTAAATCATCAGAGCTTTCCGCCAAAACACTCTCTGTCGGTGTCATCAACTCCGCCCTCTGTCCTGACCGGGGGAGGTGGCTCTTGGTATGGAGCGATCTCGCCGTCCGGAGGACAGCAGCCTTCTCCTGTACTTGGTCCAGCAGCGGCGCATCAACGACAGCAGCTTCCACCTGTGCGCCCTCCTCCTCCCCCCAACCCTCTTCACCACTGGCAGGAGGACGCATCGCAATCCCCTGGTGGTGGGGTGATTTCCCCTCTCGCGCTGCTTCTTCAGCATCACCATCAACAGCATCACAGCCGCCATTCTCATAATCATCCCCATCACCAGCAGCAGCAGCAGCAGCCGCAGCAGCCAAGCTCACCGGCAGTCGTGCCTCTGGCCGGCTTGCTGCAACCTCAGTTGAAGCACATGCCTTCCACCTACCCCCTTAGTGTTCAACAACACCTTGGCTCACTTTCTCTGGGTAATCCCCTGCTAAACCTTTCGAAAGTGCAGACCGATAACCTGTTTTCAGAAATAGTAAGGCAAGAGCAACTGGCGGCGGCGGCGGCGGCGGCGGCGCCCCCGCCCCCGCCGCCACAACCGCTGCCACCGCCGCCGTCGCCACAGCCGCAGCAGCAGCAGCACCAGCAGCAGAGGGGAAAACAGCAGTCGTCGTCCTATCATCGCCAGCATCAACATCAGCAGGCCCACCAGCAGCAGCAGGCATTTGATCGACCTCAGCACGGCTTTCCCGGGATGAGCGGGAGATCGCAGTCGCGGCATTTTCGGTCGAAGTATATGACCGTCGAGGAAATCGAAAGCATAGTCAGAATCCAGTGGACCGCGACCCATACTTCCGACCCTTACACGGACGACTACTACAATCAAGCGATCCAGGCCAAGCTTCACGGCAACAGCAGCCCCTACGGACGGCGGCATTTCGCTCCCACGCACCTGCGAGAGCTGCCCCCTCACGCGAGGGCCGTCTCGGAACCACACGCGTATCTTCAGGTGGATGGGTTGGGACGCGTGCCGTTCTCGTCGATAAGGAGGCCGCGGCCGCTTTTGGAAGTGGATGACACTCTCCTTTCTAACGGCGGCGAGGAGGGCCGAGGAGGGCCAGGAGTTGGCGTTGGGGATGGCAGCTCGCGACACGTAGAAAGACTGCTGACTAGGAGGTTGGATCAAGAGCCCATGCTTGCAGCGCGCAGTGCAGTGGAGGATGGGATGTGCCTCCTTCTCGACGTAGATGACATTGACCGAGTTCTGGCCGTCTCACAGCCCGCGGACGGGGGCCTGCAACTCAGACGTCGGCGGCAGATGTTGCTTGACGGGTTAGCGGCTTCTTTGCATCTGCGCGATCCGTTAGCAACCGATGGGAGCCGCCCCTCAAGCCGCAACTCGCCCTTATCTCCGTCCACGAGTACTGGTGGTGGCGCTTCAGCAGCAGCGGGGGGAGCAGGAGGTGGGGGAGGAGGAGGAGGAGGAGGAGGAGGAGGAGGAGGAGGTGTTTTCAACAACGGACGGCTTGTTGCCAGTGCCGTGGACGTGAAAGATGATCTCGTGTTCTTGCGCCTCGTCTCTCTTACCAAGGGCCGTAAATTACTTGCGAGGTACCTTCAGCTCATCACGCCCGGCACGGATTTGCTGCGCATTGTCGTGATGTCGGTCCTTCGCCATCTCCGCTTCCTATTCGGGCCGCCCTCTACGGATCCTAGTTTGCTAGCGGCTAATGCCACTTTGGCAAATGCCGTTGCGTCGGCGTTGGGCACAATGGATTTGGCGATGCTCACCGCCTGCCTTGCGGCGGTTGTCATTGCCCAGGAATTGCCGCCGCTTCGGAGGCCTGGGAGTGCCGGCGGCGATGCCGCCACGGTCATTCTGAAAGCCTTGTTAGATCGCGCTGGCAGTTTCAGACCGGATCGCGTCCCCGTTCAGATGATGGCGATGTGGCATGCTTCGTTCGACGTGTTCTTCAGCATGTTGTTAAAGTACTGTTCGGGTAGAATGGCCCCGATCAGTGCATCACTGGCAGGTGCAGGGGGTGACCAGACTGACGTCAATGCTGCTTTAATGGCGGCGGTGAACGAGGAGTTGCCGTTGGATCTGCTCCAGGCAAGCAGCACGTATGTCAATGATCAACAGCGGTCGATGTTGGTTGAGGTCATGCAGGGCTGGACGAACGCCGTCGGGGCCGCTAGCGGCGCCGGCGGCACAGTTCCGTCTGGAGGAGTAGGGGTGGGAGGAGGGGGAATTGGAGGTAGCGAAGGTGGAGCTGGGCCAGGAGAGGGAGGGAATACTGGAGCTGGAGGAGGAGGCGTAGCGATGGGGAGGAAGACCATTCCGCAACTGGAAACGGAGTTCGGCCCCGGCTTCCGCAGTTAGGTATCTCGAATTACATAGCTAGATAGGTATAGGTGGCTTGATGACAAATGCCAGATGTCGTGGTATTTGCAGTTAGGAGAGGACGGCGGGGGATGAAACCTGCGGTTCCGATTCCGATTCCGCTCAGTTTCGTCCCGTCCGGCCTCTGTCTGTTTAGGCTGCGCGGTCCGGGGGAATCCATTCCCATTCCCCCTTTCGCCACGCGCGTGCGGCGGCTCTATTCACGGTGTCCGAACGCGGCGTTGCTTGGCGCGGCTGTCTGCCAGTCTCCCCTGCTGTCGTGCTCCCACCTCTCCGGGTTCCGTCGTACGCTTCCGTTCTCGTCTTGCGCTCACGCGGTCTTCTCATCATGATCATCCTTGTCCAGTGGCGCGAATACCCTCAGAGACACGAGATACGTCGGGCTGTCCTGGCTTCGTTTTACCCCGTCACATTTACTCGTGTATACGTGCAGGAAATCGAGTTCTCTATAATCGTGGGCGGCCGAACGACTATTGCCGGGGACGTTGTGATATGGAGAATTCACTATCGTGCCCTGTTTTGCCTATTCGGGCTGGTTGTGACTGAGGTTTAGGCAGGTGCAGATGATGAGGGATAGATGGTCGTTTCCTTCCTCGCCTCCTCCTCAAGGCTCCTCGTGACTTCGTTGTGTCCGGCAGAGACTGTCGCCAGCTTCGTTATGCAAGAAGTAAGATGATGGGGACCAACCAGAGGCACACATGATGAGGATAGGTGTTGTGGAGCTGGAAGTGGTGATATCATGATGGTGATGATGGTGATGATGATGAAGAGGACGAGTAAGATGATGGCGACCATGCCGACGACGATGCGATATTCGTTTTTCGGACAGTGGCATGGTAGTAGTAGTCGAACATTTAAGCCCAGTAGCAAGAGTGCAACGTGGGACACAGGCACAGTACGGTGGGAAGGATCATGGTCAAGAAGCAGGTTCTGGATTCCATCGAGTGACAGTGCTTACGGTTAATCTAGTCGGGCGAGGGCAGACGCCAACCAGTGGGGAGATACGAAGTTAATCATTAATCGGTCGATGCAGTAACCAGTCGACCATGCAATCAATCAGTCTGTATGGTTCGGTCTTGCATCATCAGGGCTTTCGGTGGAATTGAACGCCATGCTAGATCCTGGCTTCCGGCGTGAGGGGGAAAAGGGCTCCAGTGTACTCTCGGTCAGGTAGGGCAACAGCAGCATCAGGCTGTATCGACGATCGTGCGAATGAACCAATAGTCCACGGGAGTAGGAGCCAACATCCAATGATCAGCCAGCCTCCAATTATCAGTTCGGACCGGGCCACGATGCGCAACGCATCTGCGACTCGATTATTCTGTCCAGGCGCAAGCGAAGCGATGAGGAAAGAGAAAAAGAAAGAGGGCGAACAAAAAAGGAAGAGCAGGCAGGGCAAAGGCTCTGCTCGTGACTTTTTCGTCGAAGCTCCGTGCTCATCTACGAGTTGATGGAAAGCAAAGGGACTACGTTCTTCTGCTTGCGGGTGCTGTCGACAGCCCTCTAGGTTTTCGGAAGGAGGGTGGGGGCATGATTCAGGAAGACGTGGCGGTGGCGATGGCGTTGGCGTTTGCGTCGTGGGGGAGAGGTGGAGCGTGGGGCCTGTGTAAGAAGTCCAGCAGACAACGAGTGGATAATGGGGAGTACATTGGAGGGTTGGGAGGCGGGCAGGAGCCGAGGAGACGGGTGCTTGTCTGGTGCCGTGGTGGGGGCATGATTCAGGAAGACGTGGTGGTGGCGATGGCGTTGGCTTTTGCGTCGTGGGGAAGAGGGGGCGCGTGGGGCCTGTGTAAGAAGTCCAGCAGACAACGAGTGGATAATGGGGAGTACATTGCGGCGGGCAGGAGCCGAGGAGACGGGTGCTTGTCTGGTGCCGTGGTGGGGGTGGAGAACGGGAGCTGCCTCTGGAAGGCAGGGCCAACGGGGAGCTGCCTCTGGAAGGCAGGGCCAACGGGGAGCTGCCTCTGGAAGGCAGGGCCAACGGGGAGCTGCCTCTGCAAGGCAGGGCCAGAGGAATTTCGCGAATGCCTTTCCCACCCATTTAGTTGTGATTAGGCATTATAGAGTGATTTGCAGCACATACAGGGGGAGAGATGTGTGAATAGGGGGACGGCTTATCATGCATGCCAGGCATGGTGAACATTCTGCGCCTCATGACCACAGCGCGTTGTCCTTGGCACGTGTATACCAAGCTTGCAGGGGAGAACCTGGCCTTGGGAGAAGGGTTTTCGCGGAAACGGAGAGGGAATTAGGGAAGGGAGGGCGTATTGGGGAAAAAAGAATGCGGGAAACGCAACGGAGGTGGCGGAAGATGAGAAGAGGGGAGTGGGTGCTTTCTGGAATAAATGAGGATTTCCCGCAAGATACGAGTACATTGTGGAGGTCTTTTGCTGCTACACACACACGGGAACTCCCCCGCAGAGAGAAGGGTCATTGAGGTATCTAGCTTTGTAGCGTGTCTCGCATCTTACACTCGCGTGCGTAGAGCATGAGCACGGGTGAGAAATCATACGCGCACTCATATTGGATGCTTCCTTTTTCCTCTTTGATAAGGGAGGGAGTTATACTGACTTCCTTGCATTTCATATTTTGCATTCGGAGGCTTTTCGCCGCTCAGATGCCGATGGCCTTTTCAATTGTCCTCGTTTTTGCTTTAGTTAGGGTGTACCTTTTACTTTATACGCTTCGGTAACGGTAGCCACGACGATCACACTGAAGAAGCTGCGAGCGGGCGCGAGTTTCTTGATGACGTTTATTCCGAGTTGGATGCCCATGACAGGCAAGTGTAGGAACGAGAGGGGCATGCAGGGAGGGACATCAATGAAGGACGTAGGGGGTGTGTTGTTGTCGTTTGTCGTGACGAGAATGAGTCAGTCAACTCGCCAGCGCGAGCGTCACCATTCGAGAGGCAACCAAACCTGAACAAGCAAAACGACGGGAAAGAAAGGGAGGCGGCAGGGGAGGGGAGTAGCAGAAAGAGGGGCAGGCCCGGGGGGGGGGGGGGGGTGCAGGAGGTAGTACGGAGAGGAAAGAAGCACAGGACATGAAGTGGCAAAGAGAAAGTATTGGAAATCGGGGGGCGGGGGGCGTGGGCTTCAACAAATTCGGGTGCAGGAGGTAGTACGGAGAAGAAAGAAGCACAGGACATGAAGTGGCAAAGAGAAGGTAGTGGAAATCGGGGGGCGGGGGGCGTGGGCTTCAACAAATTCGGGCGGTGCAGAATTTGGATTCCTCGATGAATGGCGGGCCGAAGAATGATCTCGACGATTCAGCTTGCGGGTGGAGAGAGTCATCGACAGATGGCCGCGTCGTCCGCAGGGATGAGCTTTGTGCAATATGAAGAGCGGGATTTTGTTTTTGTTTTGCATTTTCGCTTTCGGGTGTGTTTTGTGAGTTGTTACGCCTTTCGTCCAAAGGAAGAAGAAGATGGACGAGAGGTGAGGATGGCATCAAGGCCAGCTTTACTGATGTAAACCACCAATTTGTTATCATCTCCTTGGCCATGACGAATTTGAACAACGTGGCGAACTGGAGAGGCCCTTTGTACAACACAACAATAGCAACAGGAGTGCGAGTGCGCCAAGCTTCGATAGGACGAACGACCGATCGTTTGTTATCATGGTCAGCACCGTTTGGCGAGGCTCATGGCTATGGCGGTTTTCAGGAAGGGTTTTCTTTCCGACCAAACAAGGGCTAGCAATTGCCACTGCTTTGCGCTTTTAATACTCTATTTATACGGACTTTCTCTTTTGAGACGGACACCGGAGTCTGTTGGAGGTTGGGGTCCACACACACAACCTGTTTAGTTCGCTTTTGTCATTGTCGAAATTTCGTTTGAATTTTTCGGCCGAGCGATGACTGTGCAGTAGTGCGGTAGGTCAGTAGTAGCGCTGTAAACCGCCGGTAGGTCTGGGGGGGCACGAATAGGAGTCTGAGAAGAGGAGAGAGAGGGGGGAAGTGGGGGGAGGAGGGAGATGAGGAGGAGGAGAAGGAGCATTGTTGAGCTACCCTGGGATCTGTCTCCTCGGTAGGGATTTGGCACTTGATTTGCAGCCCACGTGAGTCATCTGATACATGGGCAAAGAGGCACCGTCTTGATAGACGGAGTACAGTTCTCTCCCTCGTGCTGGGTTGATTGGTCGGTGAGTGATAGAGTTTTTGAGGAGGCCACGTTGTCGGAAAGGGTTGTGAACTTGGTTGCAATAATTAGAACGAGATAGCTATAGTTTGGATATAAGGCGCGACCCAGATAGGCCAACTTGGGAGCCAGAGGGCACAGGCGACTTTGACGAGTGTTGTGAAGTGGCACAGACCCACAGATCCACCAACTGGTCTGTTGGGGGGTGGGTGTGCGGACAGGAGAACTTGAAAAATTGACGGTTAGATAGGATATTGTACGGTACCAGCAGTGTACCTTGCTGACGAGGACATTCACTTTTGCAGAGGCGGCTTTTTGTTAGGTTCTCTCTTCACACAGCAGTGTACTTTGCTGAAGATGACGTTCACTTGTGCAGAAACGGCTTTTATAATTGGGTTCTCTCTTCTATGCGGCTGTCACCGGTTTGGTTTGCGAGGACATCGGTGGACATCAGTGGCTTGTCGTACACTTGGCTTGGACTCGGGTCGATTAGGGTTTCAGCTACCCGTTGTTGTTTTCTTGGATAAGGGTGATGTTTCACATATTGCACACACAAACACACACGCACACACACACACACACACACACACAGAGAGAGAGAGAGAGAGAGAGAGAGAGAGAGAGAGAGAGAGAGAGAGAGAGAGAGAGAGAGAGAGGGTTGTGCGAACTCGCATCACCGCCATCACCTGTGACATAGAGATGACAAGGCAAACCGACAGAGGTGTGGGGCTTTTGGTCCCCCCTTAAATAATTGCACTGTGATTCCATTGTGATTACAGCAGTTGTGAGGGAAGGGGCGTAATGGCAGTACACCTCCAGTCGGGCACCATCACTTTGAACGCAAGTTAGATGGGATGACTGTGCCGATGGACTACGGTTGCGGTCGTGATATCCCATGTACCTATTAACTGAATAGGTATGAGCTGGCGAAAGGAAAGTTGTTATTGCTCTTGCTTGATAGTTATTGGAGCATTTGCCTACCATACGTTAAGCATGTCGGAGTCTTCGTTTGTGGTCGATGTTTTCTCCTTTTGTTGTGTAATGTTTGCTCCCCTCGCCTTGGCAAATAGTTTGCCTGCTTGCCACCTCAGAGTTCTCTTATGCACACAGACACACACACACACACACACACATAGAGTGAGTGAGTGAGTGTGTGTGTGTGTGTGTGTGTGTGTGAGAGAGAGAGAGAGAGAGAGAGAGAGAGAATTCATACTTGAATGGTGCAAGGGGAATGTACGATGGTGTTGTTGGATAGATGATTAGTGATTGGTGAAGCCGGCTGGAGAGCGGCGTTGTATCAACTGTAGAGATTATTGAATAATGTTATTTTGTGTCTTGATGGTGAGCGGTGTTGTCTTGGAACCGTCATCCTTTCAGTACCCATCTGTAATCATCAACTGACCTCTCCCTTTCCACCCCTTCTTTCCATATGTTCCCTCCGCTCTCCCTGTCATGCCCCGCTTCGTGAGAAACAGGTGAATTGTGGCTAAAAGGTGATTCTGTGGGTTCAAAACTGTCTTGAAGTTTGCTGCAACCCGAGCTGGATCTTCCTTCCTTTCCATTATCCAAAGGTAACGTTTTCTCAGCACTAGCTCTCCTCATTCCAATAGTCATGTTCAGGTGGGAGCCAAAAATGTAAATAGCATTCACATAGCAGCTACATAACATCCACCCCCCCCCTGGTACGTTTCATTGCACTGTTTGTAATTGTCTGTGCTGCCAGCCATTGGAATGCTTTTAGGAGCCAGCTTATTTCATTTGGCTCTCTAGTCGCTTGGTGTTTGGAAATTTCAAGCCATATTTCATTCACAAGTTCTCTGAAGATAATTTTTCATGTTTCTACCTTTTGTTGACATTGCGCTGACCTATATGCAGCAGTAGTGTACATACCCAAGCTCGGTGTACATGCATGCATAGATAGGCTCGCAGCGGTGGTCTGGTTGTGTAGACAGTCAGCAGACGGGAAGGAGCCTAAATCGATGTACTCGGAAGAGTACATCAGTCCATCCTAATTGAGCAGTACGAGTCTGTCGGCTCTCGGTCGGTCGGATGAGAGACTATCTAAGCATACCTACCTGCCAACATACATACCTACATACCTACATACCTACCTACGAACGTACCTGCATACATACATACACGGACCTACACTTAGGTGTAGCTCCTGATTGGCGGCACTGTTGGTGATGGTTGTGGTGTTCGGCTGCTTTGTTCAACATCTGGTCTGCTTTGATGCTATCGATTGTCGCATACTTGAACTGGGCAGTTGGAAGTGAAATGGTGCTGTACAGTGAAGGTCGGTTCGGCTGTGGTCTAACACTATCTTTTTGAGGGCATGCTATCTTTGTGCTGTGGTTCCTGTTTGTGAAACTAGGTTGAACTTGGTGGATTTTCCACTGGGTTGTGTGCATGTGGCAGTACCTCATAGAGCTTTCCTTGTCAACAGATCAACCAATCAACAGGTTGTGCAATTGTTAGTGAATCAATGAAATGGATTTGTCATTGGTCAGAGTGTATTGACAGATTGATATCAATCATTCCTTCACTTAATCAGTTGATCTAGCAGTCAATCAACATCATTATCATTTCGACCATGTGTTCACCTCAGGTTTGTTGGAGTGTATTTACTGTGCCGCAGTGACTGATGGAACTTGAGGGTAAGGGATTCAAGGCTTTCACTAGCGATCTCTGGTGCTTTAGTGTACGTGTTCTGAATGTTAACGACCAGATAATACAGAGTTAATACAAATGCAAGCGGAAGACTTGAGATACCTTGGACTGACTCGGACTGCAATCGAACACTCTCAAACATTCATCAGGGGTGTGAATGCCCTGGCCTCAGACATAGACGAAAGGCCAGGGACTGAAATCATTCACGGACGAAGGGAGAGAGGGGAGAGACGAAAAGAGGAAGAGAGGGAAGATGACGTCAACTCTATGTTTCCAAAGATAGTATCTTGAACTGTCAGAAGTGACGAAAACCCGAAATGTCGCGAATGCCAAGTCTCACAATATCTCAGATATTGATCTCGCAATGTCAAGTACATCTTCAGAAGGAAGATGAAATCAGATCCCAAATAGTCCTCACTCGTAGTCCCAATGTCGCTGTTCCAAATGTTATCAGAATTCGTAACCATCCTTCATACTGCAGTAGTCCCGGAGGAGGAACCCAGAAGTAGACTGAGACTGAGAGGGTAGGAGGGGAGAGAGAGAGAGAGAGAGAGGAGCGGTGGAGGAGAGGAGGGAGAGAAGGCGAAGCCTGAGAGAGAGAGAGAGAGAGAGAGAGAGAGAGAGAGGAGCGGTGGAGGAGAGGAGGGAGAGAAGGCGAAGCCTGAGAGAGAGAGAGAGAGAGAGAGAGAGAGAGAGGAGCGGTGGAGGAGAGGAGGGAGAGAAGGCGAAGCCTTCCTCCCTGGTACTTGGCACAGTAGCGATGGCGCTGCAAGGGGCTGGGCCGGTAACTGGCGCGGTGCCCAATGCTGCGCTAATCTCCTTGCCGCTGAACTCTTGCTCGCCTGCTGCTCCTCGCTGTGCTGCAGCGCTGCGCTAATCGAGCTAGCACTGGGCTGCTGCGCTAATCCTGAAGACTAACCTCGTCCATACTAACTCTAACCTACTGAGGCTGGTACCCAGCCTTTTGTAGTGCTGGGCCGGCCACCTACCTGCTGGTACCTACCGGCCTGGACCGTTGATCTAGATCAACGGTCCAGTTTCAAAACTGGTTGGCGCCTAAACTGTGGCAGCCTCTGTTGCGCCGCCGGTAGGTCCTATGCCGGACCGGTACCGGCCTTGTGGCCGTTTGGCCTGGGCCTGCCTGAATTGTCATGGTCCAGGCCCATCTGGGCCTCATCTGAATCGTCGTCCCTTAGGCTTACCCTGCCTGTCTGGAACGGGGCCCTAACTGGGGCCCGTGTGGCTCAGAATGCCATACACTCCCCCACTTGAAGACCGAGCTAACTGCGAGGGCGAAGCTGTCTGTCCGATGTCCGTACAGGGCGGGCAGGTTGGGCAGCTTCCTTAGCAAGTCGCTGTTTTTCGTAATGCGCGAAGATGAGGGGTGTTGTCGCCTTCAGGTCAGCTCTTGAAATCCAGCGTGTGTTGTTCGGATCGCATTGCTTAAACCACCAGTACCTCGCTCAGCTATTGAATCGGAGCCTCCCAGCATGCTGCGCGCCAAGTCCTGCCGAACCGCCGTCACAATTTTCGTTTTCGTTCTGCCTGCGGCCTCCAGCCAATGCAGTCCGGCAGGCCGAAGCCCAAATGGTGCGGCGCGTATACGGGAAGTGCCGCGGCCGATAGCTGGGCCAGGTACTGGTGGTTTAAATGAAACTTTGTACTGCATAGGCTTGTTGCCATGCTTGCGATGCGTGAGAACGCGGTCGACCTCCTGATGACCATCCATTGAAGGAGGGTCTTGTGACCGTCTGCCCGGGAAGTCAGCTGCGGAGGCTGGAGTGTAGACCGCCAGCTTTGAAGCGTGAAATATCGGGTGGACCGTCAAATGCGGGGGAATCTCAAATGATGAAAGATGGACCCGCGGGGTCGTCGCCAGCTGCTGAAGTGACCTTCCATGGTCCAAACCACTTAGGGAGGAGCTTGCGCGAGACGTGCTGCTCGAGCGCGAATTCCTCGAAGGTGACCCAAACCAGGTCGCCAGCGCGTATTGGGCATGGGATGCGACGCCGGTTCGCTTGCTGCTGCATACGGACCTGAGCCTTTTGCATGTTTGCGCGGGCTTTGGCCAGCAGTTCCTTGTACTTCCGTGTAGAAGCGGGGGAGCAAGCGGCGTCGATATCGGCAGCCCGTGGAAGCAAAATGTCTGTGAAGATACGTCCTTTCCGTCCACCATGGTGCAACTCGAATGGAGTCACGCCAATCCCCAGGTGAACCGAAGTGTTGTAGGCGAACTCTATGTTAGGGAGGCGGTCAACCCAGTCCTTCTGATCCGGGCGGATGAGTGTGCGGAGCATCATCTGCGCAGTCTGATGCGCACGTTCCGTTTGCCAATCCGTTTGAGGATGCTGTGCGGAACTCGATTTCATGCTGGTGCTGAATTCTACCATGAGTGCCGTCCAAAAGGCCGACATGAAACGAGTGTCGCGGTCGCTGACGATGTCTTCCGGAACGCCGTGGCTGCAAAACCAGCCGGTATGCGAAAGTTGTGCGAGCTCGGGAGCCGTCGCATGATACTTGCATGGAAGAAATTGAGCGTACTTGCTCAAACGGTCAACGACCGTGAGAATACCGTCGTGGCCAAGGCGATCGCGAGGGAAAGGGCCAGTTACATCCATAGCAATGGAGAGGCCCGGTTCCCGAGGAATCGGCAATGGTTTCAGTTCGCCGTACGGGAGCTGATGGCACCCTTTGTTCCGGTGGCAAACTGCACATGACTGAATATACCGGTTGACATCGCTGATGATGTCCGACTAGTGAAATCGCTGGCGGAGTCGTGCTAGTGTGTGTGCGACGCCAAGGTGTCCCACCAGCTGCGAATCGTGGTATTCGCCAAGGAGGCAAGTGCGCAATATGTGGTCTTGGGGAACACACAACAAGTCCTTGCCTCGTGTATGAAGAAGCAAGTAGCCGTTGACAATGGGATAGTTGCTTGCCGGCAGTTGATCCGATGATAAGTCTGCATAGAGTGTGGAGAATCCTGGATCTGACTTGTAGCCGTTTACGAAATGCTGTTGTAGGTTCTTGTCGAGACCGAATGTGGAGTGCACCAAGGTGCAAAGATCAGGTCTTCGCGAGAGAGCATTTGCTGCCTTGTTCGAGGAGCCCGGAATGTGCTTGGAGGTGACGTTGAACTGGTCAATGAAGTACATCCATCGATCGATCGTGCCGCTCACCGTGTCTTAGGTCTTATAGTATGTCAACGGGTTGTTGTCCGTTGCCCACGTGAATCGCCGACGCCCGAGGACAAAGTGACGCCAACGCTTAATTACGGTGACAAAAGCTAGCAGCTCCTTCCTCGCATCATCAAGACTGTTGATGGGCGACACCTTTTGGCTGAAGTACTCAACCAGATGCTAGTCTGTGCCGTCATGTTGTTCCAAAACCGCGCCAATGCCGTAACTGGAAGCGTCCGTAGTCACTTTGGTAGGCAAGGTCGGGTCATAGATGCTTAAGACGGGAGCTTGAAGCAAAACCGTCTTCAGCGTGTGAAACGCATGCCGGGCTTCGTTGCTGAACTCGAAGGGCACCAAGGGGGATTGAAGTCGCGACAATGGTGCAGCGATGCCTTGAAATCCTTTGACGAAGCGCATGTAGTATGATGCCAAGTCGAGAAAGGAGCGGACGTCGGTAGTACACTTGAGGTCCGACCAATCTTGAATAGCTTGTACCTTGTCCGCGAGCGGACGAATACCTTGCGACGTAATGTAATGGCCTAAGTACTCCAACTCTTGCTGGGCAAACTCGCACTTGTTGCGGTTCGCCTTGTACTTGGCGATACGAAACCGCTCCAATAAAGAGCGAAGGTGCTCGAGGTGCTCGTTCAGCGTTCGGCTATAAACCAAGATATCATCGAGGTAAATGAGTACGGTGCGGTCGAGCAAGTCGCGAAATTTCGTTGTCATAGCCGCTTGGAAAGTAGCCGGGGCATTGGTGAGACTGAAAGGCATGACGATCCAATACCGCGTCTTGAATGAGGTTTTGTACCGATCTCTTGGCTGGATCTCGATCTGGTGGTATCCGGACTTGAGGTCAAACTTCGAGAAGTACTTGGCGCCGCCTAGTCGCTCGAGAAGATCGTCGATCCGAGGGAGAGGGCCGGCGTTCTTGATCGTTTGCGCGTTAAGTTTTCGATAGTCGATGCACAAACGAAGGTCCTTGTTCTTCTTTCGGACGAAGAGAATGGGAGCACCATATGGCAAACAGCTAGGGCGAATCCAGCCCTTGGCCAGGAGGTCGTCTAGCTGTGCCCGAAGCACTTGAAGTTCCTCTTCGCCCATGCGGTAGATACATCCGCGCGGAGGTACGACGCCGTCCTCGAGAGTGATCCCGTGGCGTATGGGCCGATCCGGTATGACTCTGGCGGGAGTTTGGAAGACATCCTCATAGCTGTCCAACAGCTCAATGATGCGTGGGTCCGACGTATCCGTCTTGGGCTGATCACCGGGTGGGAGGGCGTGAAGAAAACATATGCCCATCTCCTCGATGTCGTTCCGCCGGATGGATTGGCGAATGCTCGCCGCGGATACCACGTGACAACCAATCAAAGGATGAGGAAGCGGCATCGTAGACGGTACTAGTTCGCCACGCCGATCACGAATGTGAACAGTGCGTCGATGGAAGTTGACCGGATGGTCTTCTCTTTGCAGCCACAACATGCCTAGGATCATATCGAACTTGGTGTCCAATATGTCGAAAGACACGGCCTCGCATGCTAGTGGGGCAAAGTACACGGACACGGAGTCAACGCATCGGTCGATTGACTTTTGCGTGTGTGACCATCGGCCAACGTGACGTGCGTAGGCTGACTTTTCCTTCGAACGCGCGGGCCAAGCCCGGCGCGTGCATGGAGTCTTGGCTGATGTAGTTGCGAGTTGCTCCACAATCGATCAAGGCACTGCAGGTCGCCTTTCCGATCTGAATGCGGATGTAGAGGAGCGGCGCGTCGTTCTCGACGTACCGTTGCGTTGCGTACCCGCGGTCGATATTCGCAAGATAGTTACGAAGGTCAACAACCGCTACTCCGCCGTCCGTCGACGGAGGTGGTACTGCAGCGTGCAAGTATTCGCGCAAATGTGCCATTAAGGCATTGCAATGCGGAGTTGGCAAAGAACCGGTGGAGGGAAGAGGCAACCATTGGAAGTCCTCAACCGTCAATGGCTCGAGTTTCTCAAGACTCGCCCAAGTTGACGGATCCTCCGATAGAAGGGCTGGCGAGGCAACCGGTTCATTGTCCGACGGCGGAACTGTCGCGCATGCGCGAGGCTGGTTCAACAGTGGGACCAACTTGACAGCATAGTTCTCATACTCAATGTGAGAACTTGCGACTACCGCTCCATCCCCGGATGTGAGAGAGGCTGCTAGCAAGGCAGCCGATTCCGGCGGATTGGGAAGTGATGTCGCTGCACTTCCGGCGGTGCTCAGTTTCCTGAGCCTGAACGTTTGACATTCTCCTTGTCCTTGTCCAGGCATGTGCTGGTGATGTGTTTGGTGCTGTTGCACCACAAACAACATGACCATTTCTGTCGCAACTTGAACCTATCTTCGGTAATGTCGAACTTTGTCCATGGTGCCTGTCGTGCTCCATCCGTCGACGCTGGTTTCGCCTTTTGTTTTCCCCCTCGGGGTCTTGAGCGTTGCGGTGGTATCGCTGCCGCCACATCTTCGTCACTTGATGTAGACGCAGCTGCGGGGTCCTCACTTGGTCCGTGTTGGACTGCTGCTACTTGCGGCGTCCGTTGACCTTTTCCTTTCTCCACGTAACCGGGCTGTTGGCGGGTCTCGTTGGCCGCACGCCGGTTGCCTTGAATTAGCTCTCTTGCCTTTAAGATCAGATCATCAAAGGTCTCATACTGAAACTCGGTGCCCAAAGCAGCAGTCAAGGCGTCGCATGACCGGGCGAAGAATTCGACCCGGATTGCGTCGAATGGTGAGTTCAACTCCGGGGTGGCGACGAGTCTTTGCCACTCCGTCAGCCACTCCCGTGACGTCTGCTGGCCTTGGTATATGCGGAAGATCTTGTTCATGGCGTGCCGTTTGTCATTGTTGACCATGAAACTAGTCTTCCATTTCTTCTCGAATTCCTCCCACGTAATCTTCGTGTGGAGGTTGGCAATGGTGCATTCCAACATGACGGCCATGTGTGTCATGAAAGCCTGTGCGCCTCCGATGAGTTGGAGGTAGAGTGCGTCAAGCCGCCGATGTGCGGGTGTGTGATGTACATCCGCCTCCACATTGAACGCCATCCACCATTGCAGCGGATCAGTCTTGTGATAGTCGTCGAACTTCTCGATCTTGAAGTTCGACATCTTCCATTCCTTGGTGGCAGAGGCCGGTCGTTGGTCAGCGCGGTCGCTGAGCGTCTGCAGCTGATTGCTGACTGTCGAGGCTCCAGCAAACTTGCTGATGTCGCCGAGGGATGCGACTAAGTGGTTGATCCGCTCCTCGAGTTGCTTGGCCTGCACGGCCAAAGCTGGGCAGCAGTCTACCACTGCACTGCCCGTTGACGCAGCTGCTGACAGTTGTGCCAACCCCATGCTGACATCTGTCTGCAACTGGTCGTTGAGTGTCTGCTGCTGGCTGTTGGCGGCGTGTAGTGTGCTGATCTCGGCCTGCAGGGTCGCGATCTTCTTGTCCATTGCCTTGAATGTTGTTTCATGGCGGATGAAGACCTGCCGCATGGCCAGCAGTTCACGTTGCTGCCAATTTCACGTGTACAGCAGATTCTCCATCAGAACTGCTATACCTTCTTTGTCACCTTCTTCGTCGGTCGACTCGTGTCGTTCTTCGGTTTCCTGGAAATGCTGTTGTCGAAGTAGCCTGCCATACGTGGCTTCATCGCGTGCAAGGTCCATCGTGGCTTGGTAACGAGCTTGGTGTTGACTAGCCTCGACCTGCTGCTGTTGCAACCGTGCGGCTGCTGCAGCTTCTGCTGCGGCCTGCTGACGTGCTGCCTCTGCCTCTGCCAGCTGGCATTGAATTTCCTGCTGGCGGGCGGCTTCCTCCTTTTCCCACAGCTGCCGTCGTCTCCGAATACTGCTGGAGACGTTGGAGGAACACTAAAGTGGTTCGTCGGCCGACTGAACTGGGACAGGAGGGGTAACCGGCCTCTTGGGGCTGGCGTGTGCACTGTCGTCAGCGGTAGCAGCCATGGTCGTGCGTGGCCTGCGCGGAATCCGAGGGGTCCTAGGTCCCTGTTGAGGCTTGGCTCCTGCGGACCTGCGCTCGGCCAGTCGTTGGCTGTGGCGCATCAAGTACTCTGGCCTTCGTCTGCTGCTGATGTGTCACCGCTGAGGTGGCACCTGCTGATGTGGCACAGTTGAGGTGGCACTCTGCTGACGTGTCACTGCTGAGGTATCACTGCTGAGGTGGCACTCTGCTGACGTGTCACTGTTGAGGTGGCACTCTACTGACATGTCACTGCTGAGATGGCACTCTGCTGAGGTGGCACTCTGCTGATGTGTCACTGCTGAGGTGGAACTCTGCTGACGTGTCACTGCTGAGATGGCACTCTGCTGAGGTGGCACTCTGCTGACTTGTCACTGCTGAGGTGGCACTCTGCTGCCGTGTCCGGATGCTGGCAACCGTATACTGAGAGGAGAAGAGAGAAGGTAGGGTGTGGAGGAAGGGCAGAGAGGCAAACAATGCACAGACAGTCCCTTTCTCCCCTGACCTCGAAGTCTGACACTAATCAAAAAAGAATTCCCCCCCCGATGAATTTTCGAATTTTGAGAAATTAAATAAAATTTAATCGGAAAATACGAATTAATAGAGTTTAATTTGGGCAGAAGATTTAATCTTTAATTAAAGAATATTTAAGATTGCAATAATTAATTTCCCAAAAGTTAAATCTTTAATTAAAGAATATTTAAATTTGCACAAATAACAATGAATAAAGTTTAAGCAAGTTTAAACATTTAAACATAATTTCAATAATTTCACGAAATTTTCATCGGAAGAATTTAGCATCAGCACGAGGTCACTCATCAAGTAGAAGATGAATGGTAGCAGGAAGATACACAATTTGCTGGAAAGATCCAACCTTTCAAACGCAGAAAGATGCAGTTTGCAAAAAGTGAAAGTTCCGTGAAGTTGCAGTTTGAATATGGCCGTGCTCAGGCCCAATCTGCCTTGATTGGTGCGGTGCCTGGCTGGCACTTACTTCGCATAGGTTAGATAGGTCGTTTAGATTAGGTTAGGACTAACCCTAATTAGCGCTAATTAGGTTGCTCGTAATTAGCGATTCCCTAATTGCACAATATGGAGAAAAGTTGCAAACCTAAAACTATAATTTTAACGACCTAATTACTATGAAAGTATGAGAAAAGAAAAAATTTTGCAACTTGCGATTTAAAGATAACAGAGTGCACGTGTAGATAATCAATCAACCAATCAATCAATCAATCAATCGATTAATGGTGAGTCATCCAATGCTGGTCTGCTCCGATACCAAACTGTTGCATACTCGTGAAACACAGTCATAAGTATGGCGCAGATTCCCAGAACCGACCAGATAATACAGAGTTAATACCAATGCAAGCGGAAGAAATGAGATACCTTGGACTGACTCGGACTGCAATCGAACACTCTCAAACAATCATCAGGGGTGTGAATGCCCTGGCCTCAGACATAGACGAAAGGCCAGGGACTGAAATCATCCACGGACGAAGGGAGAGAGGGGAGAGACGAAAAGAGGAAGAGAGGGAAGATGACGTCAACTCAATGTTTCCAAAGATAGTATCTTGAACTGTCAGAAGTGACGAAAACCCGAAATGTCGCGAATGCCAAGTCTCACAATATCTCAGATATTGATCTCACAATGTCAAGTACATCTTCAGAAGGAAGATGAAATCAGATCCCAAATAGTCCTCGCTCGTAGAGTCGTAGTCCCAATGTCGCTGTTCCAAATGTTATCAAAATTCGTAACCATCCTTCATACTGCAGTAGTCCCGTAGGAGGAACCCAGAAGTAGACTGAGACTGAGAGGGTAGGAGGAGAGAGAGAGAGAGAGAGAGAAGAGAGGAGCAGTGGAGGAGAGGAGGGAGAGAAGGTGAAGCCTTCCTCCCTGGTACCTGGCACAGTAGTGATGGTGCTGCAAGGGGCTGGGCCGGTAACTGGCGCGGTGCCCAATGCTGCACAAATCTCCTTGCCGCTGAACTCTTGCTCGCCCGCTGCCCCTCGCTGTGCTGCAGCGCTGCGCTAATGGAACTAACACTGGGCTGCTGCGCTAATCGAGCTAACGCTGGGCTGCTGCGCTAATCCTGAAGACTAACCTCGTCCATACTAACTCTAACCTACTGAGGCTAATACCCAGCCTTTTGTAGTGCTGGGCCGGCCTCCTACCCGCTGGTACCTACCGGCCTGGACCGTTGATCTAGATCAACGGTCCAGTTTCAAAACTGGTTGGCGACTAAACTGTGGCAGCCTCTGCAGCGCCGCCGGTAGGTCCTATGCCGGACCAGTACCGGGCTTGTGGCCGTTTGGCCTGGGCCTGCCTGAACCGTCATGGTCCAGCCCCATCTGGGCCTCATCTGAACCATCGTCCCTTAGGCTTACCCTTCCTGTCTGGAACCGGGCCCTAACTGGGGCCCGTGTGGCTCAGAATGCCACACACACAGAGAGACAGACAGAGAGAGAGAGAGAGCTATGTAAAGGTTTGAACGGAGTGAACGCCCGTTCACGTTCAGACAGGTCCGTTCAATAAACAGGTCCATTCAGTTCACCCGGGACTCCGTTCAATTCCGTTCAATCCGATTCTGGGCCACGTGGCGAGAAGTAACTGAACGCGTTCACACCATTGGCATGAGCATGGCGGGGGCTACTGCGGGGTGCAGTGCGTTCGGCAATATCACAACCCCCCCCCCCCCTCTATACMCCCCCAACCCGCCCTAACCTCCCCCCCTGCAAAGCACCTTCCCAACCGCCACCCCCAACCCGCCCTAACCTCCCTCTCTGCAGTGAACCTGCCCCAATGTGGCAAACCAATGGGCCTAAGCATGTGTGCGCAAGAGAGAGAGAGAGAGAGAGAGAGAGAGAGAGAGAGAGAGAGAGGTGGGTGGGGTGTGTGTGTGTGCTACCAAGGAAAGAGAAAGTGTGAGAGAGAGGCTGAATGGGGAAAATGGAAAATGGGTCAAATTGCAGCTGTGATTTTTTTTTTCTTGGTTGGAATTAGTTTTTCTTCAATTTACTTAATATTTTCCTGGAAAGATCACAATAAGATCTACAAGCACTCCAATTTTCAGATTTTTCACGTATGTTTTGGAGCGCAAAAAATCACTGAAGTCGGAGTGCGTTTGCTATTGCCCCACATGTGGCTGAGTGACAAAAATGGTAAATGTTCCGAATCAGCACGGCAATCATTTTCGGTCTTAAAAAAGTAAAAAAAAAAAACTCTGATATTTTTGCGGGAAACCACAACATAATCTACGGATACTCAAAAGTTCAGAGTTTTTTCAACTTTTTTGCCAATTCTTCTGAGCACGGAGGGGGGGGAGGGTGGGGGGGGCGGGTTGGTGCTACCAAGGAAAGAGAAAGAGTGAGAGCGAGGCTGAATGGCGAAAATGGAAAATGGATCAAATTGCAGCTGTGATTTTTTTTTTCTTGGTTGAAATTAGTTTTTTTAGTTTTATTTAATATTTTTCCTGGAAAGATCACATTAAGATCTACAAGCACTCCAATTTTCAGATTTTTCACGTATTTTTCGGAGCGCAAACAATCACTGAAGTCGGAGTTCGTTTGCTATTGCCCCACATGTGGCTGAGTGGCAAAAATGGTAAATGTTCCGAATCAGCACGGGAATCATTTTCGGTCTTAAAAAAGTAAAAAAACACTCTGATATTTTTGCTGGAAACCACGGATACTCAAAATTTTAGAGTTTTTTGCCAATTCTTCTGAGCACGGAAAATCACCAAAGTTGCCTATCGCAAACTGTGGGACTGGACACACCCAAAAATAACCCTCCCATACCGCTCCCCACCCTTGCGCAAGCCCGTCCAAACGGCGTTCGTTGAACGCCCGTTCAATCCGTTCAAATGTTGAATGGGAAATGTGCGTACAAGGAGAGAGAGAGAGAGAGAGAGAGAGAGAGAGAGAGAGAGAGGCTCGTTAGACACTCCTTGGAGCGTCCTCGGGGCGAAGGAAGTTTACTTGGGGGTTTTCAAGGAAATTCCTGCCGTCGTTCTACCTATCCTTGGCGTGGTCTCCCAAGGATGATTCCTTTCGGCCGCTGGCAGCCATTTTCATAATATTATAGTCAGCTGCGGGAGGGGCAATGCCTTGGTCCATTGGGTGATATCCGTCTTGCTACGGTGTGGTTCAGCTCCCTAAGGCGGGAAATTTTGAAAGGCGCTGGCAACCGAACAAAAAAACCCTTGAAAAGCAATGGACCTCCTCGGTCGAAAATTGAATTTCAAATTGGGTGCTGGACGTCACGACGACGACGTGGGGCAGGTGGCATCCATACCTGCGATGGTGGAAACCGGCATTTGCAGTGGCGCAGTGGAGTCCTCGTACGTCGTCACAAATTTGTGAGCACCCCGCGAAGGTCCATCGCCATTGCCTCTGCATGCCGCCGCGCCTATGTGTTGAGTCGAGCACACGCGGGGAACGTCGTCGGGGACTTGGCGCTGAGGTTACCACGATCGTGGCGAGTTGGTAGGCTGTTGTATTGTCGTGGTTCATGAGCATTGCAGCACACGTGCCGATGGAGGGTGGCAGCGATGACGAATGTGCGAAGTTGACGACGATCGAGAAGACAACCGTGGTGGTGGCCGTGACGGTTGTGCTCTTTCATTGTCAGCAGGAGAGGGCATTGGGCAGAATGAGAGCGCAGATCTGCGCGCGGAGGAGGAAAATGCTCCATCAAGTCCCGGTCGAAGGGCTGGATACCGTGGCCATCACGGAGGCTGCCGTTCAGGTTTGCTGCTCCATGGGTTGCAGAGTTCTTCCACGAGTGACGCCGAGGTGGTGGATGAAAAGGAGGACGGGGGGGGCGTGGGAGGATCTCAGGCCATGCGATGATGCGATGGAGGATTACTTGTGGGAGAAGCTGTGTATGTCGCCATGTGTCTTTCGGGCGATGACGATTGCATCTAGTGTGGGCGAACGCCTGCGGGATGCGCTGAAGGCCTTCGATAGAGGTCGGCCATCAACTATAGAGGAAACACACGTGGAACGGGAGGACCATGACAAGCAAAATTGTGACTAGGAGCAGCAGTGGCAACCTTCAATAAAGGTTGGCCATCAACAACACGTACGACATGGCCGTAATTCTACGACGACGGTGAAGGTCCACTGAGCGGCGACGATGAAGGGAGCAGCCGGTAGAGGACAGCATATGACACACACACTCTAACGGGTCGTACACCCTTGCACTGCGAGCCGGGCTGTGGCCTGCGCGGTGGCTTCTGGAATGGTCCATTGAATACCTGCTCTTTGCCTGCCGCCCATCCATGTTGACGTCCTTCTTCGCAGACCGCCTCTTACGTGTACGTCCAGGCACCCTGACGAGGATGTAGATGTGGAAGAAGATGACAAGGACAAGCAAAAGGATGACCAGGAGCAGCAGTGACAGCCTTCGAAAGATGTCGGCTATGAAAGGCAAGTGGGGAAGGGCAGTAGCTAGACGACAACGGTATACCTCCAGCAAACGGCGACGAAGAGGGCTGCAAACGGCAGACCCGAGCATGGGACAAATGCCTTGTAACATTTTTCGTCGCGGAATACACTGGGCAATTGGAGCAAAGGGGGGCTGAAGTATTCAAATTTGCCGACCGTTTGGACCCTTTCCGTTTGGCGGCACGCACTGCGAGGGAGAACTCTGGTTGATGACGTTGGCCTCTTTCCGTTTGGTGGCATGCACTGCGAGGGAGGACACTGGTTGACGACGTCTGTGGGGGCCGGCTGGCCACCAACGGTTACCGTTGGCGTAAGGTTCCTGGAAGCCGAACGTTGAAGACCCAAGATGTTTGTGCGCTGCCCGGTAGGAACTCCAATGGACCAGCCGACGAAAATTCTTGCCGACGACGGGTGCCCTCGCCGCTCCGATTATTGCGGATCCTTGACCTCCAAGGGACCTCGGGAGGTCCCTTGGGGAATGCCACCAAATGACTGTAGCCTGAGGATGCCCCAAGGATTCCACAAGGAAATGTTTTCACATTTTTTTCCTCTTTTCATCCCTAAGGATAGGTGGAACGAAATTTTCCTCGGGGGAT